AAAAAAACAGATAGTTCAGTCGGTGATAGCGTACTGACTGACAAGTATGATGATATGATGGGATTGCTGGAAAGGATGAAGATGTCTGTGGTAGAGCAGGAGGGCACAACTCCACAACTGAACAGAATAAAAACAAGCCAGTTCACATACAGGTTCTTGAAGCTAGAAGAAAAACTTGTATAAATAGCAATACCTCAGATTTGAAATGTTGTTATTAAAAAAGTATAGAGATACATGCTATACAGCATTTTGATGAAGGTGTTCATTAAAGGGGTCATATGATGCGATTTCAATTTTTCCTTTCTCTTTGGAGTGTTACAAGCTCTTGGTGCATAAAGAAGATCTGTAAAGTTGCAAAGACTAAAGTCTCAAATCCAAAGAGATATTCTTTATAAAAGTTAAGAGTCAACCACGCCTACCTAAAACGGCTCGTTCTAACACACCCCAGTTCTTTTTAGCAACATCATATGACCCCTTTAAACTAATCACACTAATTCAGTCTGGCCACAGTTTTGTGTTAAAATATCATATTTACAAATATACACTTGTGTTCGCCCAAAACCGTGCATTAGTATTTTAGTTGTTGGCCACACACTTACACATTGAACAGGTTAATGTGTAGGCCTACTGTTATATTCAGCATTGGCAAGCTTTGCTTTGCACATTACTGACACATTGTGTGAAATAATGGACTAGTAATGTGACGAATCAAATTACTACTCTGAATTATTTAACAATTATTATCTCTATTCACAGCAATGCTCCAAACAAAGGCCACAATTTAGCAACCTATAAAAATTATGATCACATAAACAAAACAAATCAACCAAAATTAAAAGCTACTGATGTTCATCCTTGTCATTTATTTGTAGCAGCTTTATAGTTAGTTGTCACAAGCAACGGATAACTTTAAAATCAGTATTGACATTGATATTTAATCACCAAAGAAAATGACATTATATATATATATATATATATATATATATATATATATATATACTCACTACCTTTTAAAAGTTTGGGGTCAGAAAAAAAAAAAGATATTAATACTTTTATTCAACAAAGCTGCATTAAATTTAACAAAAGTGATAGTAAAGACATATAAAATGTTTCAAAAAATTTCAACAAAATGCTGTTTTTTAAACAATCCATCAAAGTGTCCTGAAAGAAAATGTATTACATTTTCCTCAGATATTTTTAAGTAGCACAACTGTTTTCAACATTGATAATAATCAGAAATATTACTTAAGCACCAAATCAGCATATTCGAATGATTACTGAAGGGTCATGTGACACTGAAGACTGGAGTAATGGCTGCTGAAGAGCTTTGCCATCACAGGAATAAATTACATTTTAACATATTAAAATTGAAAGCAGTTATATTAAATTGTAATAATATTTCACAATATTACTGTTTTTATATTTTCGGTCAAATAAATGCAACCTTGGGGATCATAAGAGACTTCCATACTGAACTGACCGCAGCAGCACTGAATAGATTTTTCTTTATTCAGTCAATTTCATACACTGTCTGATGTTGATGCTGCTGTAATATATTTTTAATATTTTAACAGATATCCTTATCTCACCTGTTGAGTTACGTATGTTTTGTCTAGAGCTCTGACATAATTTTGCTTTCAGTGGTGAAAAAGAATTGGCTTACTGTATGTGTGCCTTCTCTAACACTACTTTCGATGTCTCTGGGATGAATTACCAGCTGTTGAATTCACAAAAATATGAGCACTATTGATGTAATTCATTTCAGTTACCTAACGTAATTGATTTTTTTGTTACATAACTTCCTCTGTATTATTTTTTCTTCCAGCTAGGAAACATACATTTTTAAATTTAATTTTATGCTTAAAGACATTATACAGTTTTGAAGGGCCCAGAGCACAAACAGGAAATGTGTCACTTCTTCTTTTTCACCCGTTAACGTCATTTGTTACCCAACTCTCTGGTGTTAATCCCGCTCACCCCCGGCTCCTTCTGTTGCCATGGATATGCCATCCCTATGGCAACTCAGGGCCTTTGTGGATGGTCTTGGGTCCTGACGGTGGAGGACTCATTACACATTCCCTTCCAGCTCCAAGTCAAATCAGTCAAAACGGGCAAGCTCATCTGCCTGCTACAGTACAGGCACCGTTGTGAAAAACAGCATGGTTTCATAAACATATTATGGGATCTGATCATCAGTCTTAAACCCATCCACATTAAAGAGATCGAATGAAGAAGATGACCTTTTCATTTCTAATATGGAAGAGATTAAAAACACTGTACTGAAGCAAACCCCTTTAATGTCCCTGCTGAATTTGAATTAGCTGAATGACATAGTTGTTTACAAGGAGGAACAGCATTACTGTCTGTGCTCAAATTTTATTGTACCCTCACTTAGTAGTGACAAGTAGTTGGGGTTTAAAAGACAATTAATATTCAGTAATCCCAATTTAATTGCACTGACAACAAAATTTGAACTTTATTGAGCTGGATAATGACAAACTTTGCAACATCGATGTGTTATTGAACTGAAATGACAACTGAATCAACACTGAACTGACTTGAGATGAATAACGATGCCGTTGCCTTCTGTAGAGCTTCTAAATGGAAGTTGTTTTGTAATTGATGAACTTTTCAACATTGACAGTTATTGAACTGAATTCAGACAACATTGAACTAAATCCCAGCCAACAAGGAACATTCTTCAGAATTTTAGCTGTCTCTTTGGCATTCTGTCAAAGTTATGAACAAACATTCTTACGTTAATAGAACGTTTGTTCACACACTCTCAAAAAGGATGTGTTGATTTTTAACACATTTTTTGTGTTATGACAATTTAACACGTTTTTTGTCATTTTGTGTTAAATCTGTGTTAAAAAGAAAAAAGTCCGTCCAACACAATATGTGTTAAAGGGATAGTTCACCCAAAAATTCTGTCATTAATTACTCACCCTCATGTCGTTCTAAACCCGTAAGACCTCCGTTCATCTTCGGAACACAAATTAAGATATTTTTGACGAATTCTGAGAGCTCTCTGACCCTCCCATAGACAGCAAGGGTACTACCACAATCAACGTCCAGAAACGTAGCAAGGAGATCGGTAAAATAATCCATGTGACATCAGGGGTTCAACCGTAATTTTACGAAGCTACGAGAATACTTTTTGTACGCAAAGAAAACAAAAATAACGACTTTATTCAACAATTCATCTCCTCCGCGTCACCCTGGTGCCATTTTGGAGAGTATCCACTGAATGTAAACAGCGTATACTATTCTGTGTCAGCTAACCCTTTAATTATCAGCCAATCACATTGCTGCTTGCGTCACTTCATAAGCTGCTATTCTTCTCAAGAGCAAGTTTCCTCGCGCTTCAATTTTTCATCATTAGGCGATATCTTCCATGCGTGGAGGTAAGAAAAATGTTCGTATTTGGCATTAGAATCTTTCAAAAAGTCTTTTGTGATCATTTGTGGACGGTCGAGGGGCATTTTGAATGGGCTGAGATGTGGACTGCCACAAACATGCCACACATGACTATAGCAGGTTATGTGTGTTTTTCCAAGTAAACGTCTCAGGTTACTTATGTAACCATGGTTCCCTGAGTAGGGAACGAGACACTGCGTCCTCTAGGGGTCGCTATGGGGAACGCCTCGTCGTGACCCGTGTCTGAAGCATACATTGAAAAAACACCAACTCGTTGGCCGGCGACAGCCATGATGTGATAATCACATTTTTTTGTTTTTTTGTGATAATCACAAAGGCTACCGCAGAAGCCTGTGTTATGGCCGCATGATCCAGGAAGTAGCGACCCCTAGAGAATGCAGTTCGAAGTTCCCATGAAGGGGAACCAGAAGTTAACATATTCCATGGTGTGCCATAGCCAAGCCACATATGGCTCTCAGTCGTGTGCTGTCATCTGGGCCATATACCTCAATACAAATAGTCATCCAAAAGAAAATTCCCTCCAATTCTAAAGGCATGGCAAAACATATATAGTGAAAGTTAGGCCCATATGTGCTCAGCCATGCCATACCTAGGCCAAATGGGACAGCTATCAGACACATTTGGCCCAAAAGTTCTTGCTATCTGGGATCCGCGGTAGCCGGAAAACTGCCTCACGAATGGCGGTGTGAGCGGCGCCCGCGGTAACTACGTTAATTTTAGCAAGCTTTTAGCTTTATGGTTTCTTTTGTTAGATTTGTTGTGAGTGGAATCGCTTTTAATTAATCATTGAAACGTTGTAGTGTTTCACATGCCGTTCACCCAATCTCTCTCTCATTGAAAATGAACAGAGCTCATGGTGCCACACCGACTACATTTAAAAAAATTAAAAATAAATTTCAAAGTACAAACCTGATTATAACCATTAACTCAAGGAACGTTTCAATCAAGCAACATTGTTAATGTTTAAATTACTATATTTTCATTGTTTACCTTTTTACTCTTTAATTTTTTTTAGCAGGTTTAATAAATTCTGTATGAACTAGCCTATATGTGAGTTTGCTGTTTTTATTGCATACAAGGTCTAGCACACACTTGACACAAATTGTGTAACTATAACACATTAGCGTGTAAAAAATTTAAACACACTTTCTGTGTTAGCAGGAATAAAACATTGATTTAGTTAAAAGTAACACAAAATGTGTTGTCCTCAACTACACACTTCACCACTCAATGGTAAATGTGACCGCACCTTAACATGTACAGTGGGGCAAAAAAGTATTTAGTCAGCCACCAATTGTGCAAGTTCTCCCACTTAAAAAGATGAGAGAGGCCTGTAATTTTCATCATAGGTATACCTCAACTATGAGAGACAAAATGAGAAAAAAAAATCCAGAACATCACATTGTAGGATTTTTAAAGAATTAATTGGTAAATTCCTCGGTAAAATAAGTATTTGGTCACCTATCTTGTCTGTTAATGTGAAGCTGTTTTGAAACTGTATTGTATAAAAATGTGACTTGACTAGTGACAGTAACTGGTTTCATAGCCCTCTGCATACTATGCCCTGCTACAAAGCATCTGTAAGCTAAATGAAAAAAAAACTACCTTCATTCATAAAGCATATGGCTGCACAGTGTCTGTCAATGACCTCAACCTATGTTATGTAATGTGTTTTTATTTTTATTATATCCTTTGTCCCCAGCAGTGACACTCTGACTCTTGCGTAGGCAGCACTTGAAAACATCCTCTGCGGGAGATTGGGAACATCAGGTAATTTAGTCCTTTATGCAGATGAGTATTTTAAAATAAGCGCTCAATGTTTGACACAGTGGGTTAGTTAAAAGTGAGGAAAAACATGTATTTCAGATGAACTAAATGGATGAATAAAAAGTGTTTGCTTTGTGCATGTTTATTAGGTTAGAATTAGCGGTGGAGATGAGATGTTCTAGGTCATGTTGTTAATAATACACCTGACGAATATGCATGGATGCAACAATGGATTTTTAGGGATCAAGCACACTCTGTTGTTCAACAGACTTACCTGAGTTCATTTGCCTACAAATGCATGACACTGTTGGCCATTCAGCGTAAACACTCAAGTATCATGGGTCTGTTAGGCCTGGCCTGGCCTTCCTACTCAAATGATTAGTCGCCTTCACTCAGACCCAAATTAGTTTGAAGGGAACAAGCATGAATCCGGCAAGGTAACCAGAGCCCAGTGTTTAAAGATGTATGAAGAGCCTTGAGGAGAAAGTCGAGTCTCTGTTAACCCATCGCACTAACAGTGAAACTTTCATACAGTGATCTGCCTTCGTGAGCGCTTGACGTGTATGCGGGTTTTGCACGGGCGCGTGTGGATCAGCCAGGTGTGGGGGGGGGGGGTTCCGCCTGCTGAAGGAACGGCCATACATCATTTGATCCAGGTCTGTAATCCAAGCCACCTGCTTACGATGGTGGGTATGTAATCTACACAGGACCCTGTCACAATAGAGCTGCACAACACACCAGCAGCCTTTGATCTATTGTTTTCTGCTGGCAGTGTTGGGAGTAAGGCATTACAAAAGTAATGCCATTACAGTAATATATTACTTTTTTGGCAATATTATACCTGTTGCAATCTCAGTAACGCACGTTACAACAACACATTTTAACCCAATAAAATAGTAAAATAGTATGTCTCCTGTTACTGGAATTTGACGGTTGAGGTGACTGCAGAGACAGATTTTACATTTGCCAGATGGACATTACATTCTTGTCCTTTTCTCTGACGAACTGAAAACAATGGGAGTCATACTTGCCTGGAAGTTTCTAGTGAGTCTGAAGACCTTGATAAGTTAATTCAGGTGTGTTTAATTAAGGTTGGAGCTAAACTCTGCAGGACAGTGGCCCTCCAGGAACAGGTCTGGACACGCTTGCACTATATGAACAAAAGTATTGGGTGATACCTGACCATTCCAGCAACAGGGACTTAACTGACATTACATTCTAAATAAATAGACATTAATATGGATTTGTTCCCCCCTTTGCAGCTATAACAGCTTCCCCTCTTCTGGGAAGGCTTTTCACAAGATTTTGGAGTGTTTCTGTGGGATTTTTTGCCCATTAATTCAGTAGAGTGTTTGTGTCAGGCACTGATGAAGGACGATAAGGCCTGGCTCGTAATCTCTGTTCCAGTTCATCCCAAAGGTGTTCGGTGGGGTTGAGGTGAGGCCTCTGTGCAGACCAGTCAACTTCTGTCACACAAAACTCATCCAACCATGTCTTTATATTGTACACACAGTACATGCTGGAATAGAAAGGTCTACCCCAAACTGTTTCCACAAAGTTGGAGGCTTAGCATTGTCCAAAATGTCTTGGTATGCTGAAACATTAAGATTTCCCTTCACTGGAAGTAATGACCATAGCCCAGCTCCTGAAAAACAGCCTCATACCATTATCCCTCCTCTACCAATCTTTACAGTTGGCATAATGCATCAAGCAGGTAATGTTCTCCTTCTCCTGGTATCCGCCAAACCCAGACTGCCAAACAGAGAATTGTGATTCGTTACTTCACAGAACATGTTTCCACCTCTCCAGAGTCCAGTGCTTTACACCACTCCATCTGACACTTGGCATTGTACTTGGCTTACATGCAGCTGCTCGGCCATGGAAACTCATGCTGATATTAATGCCAGTGGAAGTTTGGAACTTGCCATATTAATATTACATGATATTAATGCCAGTGGAACTTTGGACTTTTACGTGTTGTGCGTCTCAGCACTCAGTGACCCTGCTCTGTGACTTTATGTGGTCTTCTGCTTCACGGCTGAGTTGCTGCTGTTCCTTAACGCTTCCACTTTCCAATAATACCACATACAGTTGACTGTGAAATATCTAGCATTGGTGAAATTTCATGAAATGACTTATTGCAAAGGTCGTATCCTACCATAGTTACATGCTTGAATTCACTGAGCTATTCAGAATGACCCATTTTCTCACAAATGTTTGTAAATGCAGACTGCATGTCTAGGTGCCTGATTTTATATACCTGTGGAAATGGGTCTGATAGGATCCAGGTTCAATAATTAAGAGATGTGTCCCAATTCTTTTGTCCATATAGTGTAGCTAAACTCGGCAGGACATCGGCCCTCCAGGACCGAGTTTGGAGACCCCTGCTCTAAAGCATCAACCACCACGTGGGTTTATAAGTCAGGGGTGAATTAGGAAAGAAAGAATGAAGGAGATTAGAGGACAAAATGGCAAAGAGGAACCAGAAAGGGAAAATTGTCGGAGGGAGGATACACAAGAAAGACACGTGGAGAAGGAGGCCTCAGCATGCTGCAATCATGCCTGTCAGTGGCCTCTCATAACAGAAATTGGCCAAAACACAAAGCCAGCAGAGGTGCCTCATCCTTTTCAAACAGGAATTGATTCACAGCTTGAATAGTAGGTGCATAATCAAAATCCAGCACAGCCCCTGCAGTCTATGGCTGTCTCACCAGCAGCATCAGACCTCTTGAAACACAAGGAGAGAAAGAGCTCAGTTGCACACATTCATTAGCCACAAGGAGATTATTTTTTTGGGAAAGCATGTCAAATTAGAGTGGATGGCTTAAAGGGATAGTTCACCCAAAACTGAAAATTCTGTTATCATTTACTTACCTTCATGTCATTCTAAACCCAAAGACTTTGGTTAATCTTTGAAACACAACCACAGCTTAGAAGATCCAAGAATGGTTAAAATGGTGTCATAAAACAAATCCATATGAATCGAGTGGTTTAACCTAAGTCTTGTGTAGAGATTTGATAGCTTTATACGATGAACAGATTTAATTTAGGTTTTTATTGACATACAAACACACATAGATAAAGTGCATCATATTTGGTCAAATGGAAGCTTGTGTATGTGTCACATTCATGCGGCACATGCCAGAACAAACCTTTTCATGCATCACAAACATTCGAGCTTCCGTGTTTACCATATGTGATGTGCTCTATGTATGTGTGTCGATCGTATGCTTAAATTAAATCTGTTCATCATATAAAGTGATCTTATCTCTTCAGAAGACTTTAAACGGCTCAATTCCTAAGGTTACCTTAGCTACCTAAGGTTAGCAAACTCTGCATGAAACATTAGCAGAAGAAAAGTAAGCCTTTTGTGTCAATTTACCATTCACAAGTGCTCTGTTTCTTTCTGCTTTCTTAATAACGCTTAAATTGCTGTTCATCAATTTGCAGTGTAATGCAATATGCATGGGGCCTGTCTTAAGTGTGCAGCTGTAGTTCAGGGAGCCATTTAGAAGAGAGAAATGCAGTAATACTAGAGCTGAGTGTTTCCCTACTCTGCAAAGACCAGCTTGAAGGTTTCATGCAAGTTAGTGCTGGTTTGCATGTCCATGCTGACTGGTTGGTGAAGCCTGGTGGGAACATGTAGGACATGAAGGACGATGACAACACGGAGTGAGTGATTCAGTCCTCATCTGTTGTGGTCTGCAGGTCTCCTCATTTCAGTCTACCCGTTCATAAGAGCATGGTTCAACTTCCATCACATACTGCCCAATATAGGTGAGACTATATAATATTATATTTTATAGCACACATAACATTTTAAAATGTGTGTCAAGGTTGTGAAAAATTCAGAATGTAAGAATTTTAGTTCAGTTTAGAACACAACATTTATTGTTCACAAGTTTTGGATTGGTAAGGCTATTTATTTGATCAAAATATAGTAAAAGCTGTAATATTGAGAAATATAATATCAATTTACTGTTATCTATTTTAATATATTTCTGTCACGTGATCCTTAGGTCCTTCAATCAGATCCTTCAATCTATTTAAATGTTGTAAACAGATGTTCTGCTTAATATTAATAATACTAATCATTTTTGTGAAACCACAATACTGTTTTTTTCAGGATTCTTTGATGAATAGAAAGTTCAAAAGAACGGAATGTATTTGAAATAGAAATCTTTTGTAATATTATGACATATTTTGTCACTTTTGATCAGTTTAATGCATTCTTGTTGAATAAAAATAATAATTAAAAAATATTACTGACCACAAGCTCTTGAACAATAGTGTATATATAATGTATATTTGTTTGTAAGGCCGATAAAATCTTTTAAAATATTTCCAAACTAGCATTTACTTTTCTAGCTATTATTATACTTATTGCAGTCATGTTAATTTCCTTGAGTTTCAGTTCTTTTTAATTGTACTTTCTTGTAAATTCAAATGCATCATGTTTGTTGCCTTAATCCAATTCAAATTCAGGGATTTAAAAATATTTCTCAATTCACAACCCTGGTGCCTATCAATTATATTTAAATGCTATATAAAATTTCACTAAAGAGATAATCTTGATTATATTGTGTAACATGAGATTTGTTTCCTTTTGTGATGAGAGACCATGTTGCATCACTCAGGCTAATATGACAACATCTAATTTTCTCAGGCAACTTCAGAGTGCACCCCATGGCTACAAATTCAAATCCAGCCGCTGAACAGCCTGCAGCTACACTCACACGAGAGGGTAAGTGGCTGTTCCACATGGATACGCACACACAAACCCCTCTGCTTCCAGTCTGACAATTGAAGACTGATTTCCTCTGACACCATTTTAGAGTGACTATATTTCTCTGGGTCAATGTAGAGCCATCTTCTGCTTTTCATTTACACTCTCGCTTGCCTGCTAGATCTGAGGCCGGAGGCTGCGACAAAGTCTCGAGCTCTGGTCCAAGCTTATATAACAGAGCCCTTCCTTTTGGTTATGTCATGTAAAATGGCATTATTTATTATTTATTTAAAATGGCATTATTTTATTATTTATTATTATTTTTAGCAATGACTCATCTGAATGCCTCTGATTGGCCATTGCACTCATAAGCTGCGACAAAGTCCCGAGCTCTGGTCCAAGCTTATATAGAGCCCTTCCTTTTGGTTATTTCATGTAAAATGGCATTATGGATTTAATGGGTAATAACTAAAACTCTATTTCCAGTAAAGACTAATTCTTACTTATTGTTTTGTTTGATAATTGCTCCAACACTTGGTGAACTTAAAAACAGCAATTTCAGAGTCTCTAATGGAAACACAGCCATGAAATATAATGCATTAAATGCCGTGTTCCTGTAAATTTACTGTTCCCCACTATATCATTCATCTATGGTAGTTTTAAAATATTGTGCCTATTTCAGTTAAACACAATCAAATTTGCCCTGCAACTTTACTGGAAATTTCTGGGCTCCCACAGTCTTGGAAAACCTGGATACATGAGTTATTCATTTTAAAAGTGTGATTTCTAGACCTGGAAAGGTCATGTTTAGTGGGTATAGAAAAGAATCACCCCCCTTTAAAATAATCACATTTTGTTGCTTTGCAGCCTGAAATGAAGACGGACACAGTTTTTTTTTTTATCCAGCTGTAATTACTCAGTGCAACTTATAACATCCAAGTGAAAGATATAACACCAACATGTCAGAAAAACAAAACAAAAAATAAAACAGAATCAATGAGTTGGAAAAAGGATCACCCCCCTCCTAAAAATGACTTGTAAACTCAATCAGGTGTAGCTACTCACCTTCTCAATGGCACACAAAGCCATTTGACTTTCAACTGTGATCAGTTGTGGTCATTTTGATTAGCTCAGCATGAAAAGAGCTTTCCTTGGTAGTGCAACTGAAGTAAACAATCAACTATAGGTGGCAAGGCACTGTCAAAAGATCTCTGGGATAAAGTTGTGGACAGGCACAAGTCAGGAGAAGGATACAAAAAATTTCAAAAGCTTTATCAATGCCTATAGAAGCACAGTGACGTAAATTATTGAGAAGTCGAAGGTATTTGGTACAACACAGACCCTCCCTGGATCAGGACGTCGCTCCAAACTGAATGAAGGAACCAGGAGGAAACTGGTCAGAGAGGCGACCAAGAGGCTGACAGCAACTCTGAAGCAGCTACAGGAATTTATGACAAAAGGTGGTCATTGTGTGCATGTGACAACAATATCACAAATTCTCCACAAATGTGGCTTGTATGGGGGGGGTGCAAGAAAGAAGCCACTCCTTAAGAAAAGCCACATGCAGTCACGACTGAGCTTTGCCAAAACGCACCTTGAAAATTCTGAGGCAGATGAGACTAAAATGAAATTATTTGGCCTCAACACCAAACGATATGTCTGATGGAAATCCAATACAGCCATACAACGCCAGGCCCAGTACTGGTGTTAGCATGCCCGGAGTCCCGGTCAGCCCCTGTACTGGTTAGGTGTCCATATGGCTTGATTCCATGCGGCAATCCCATATGTGTATTCTTCCACGGTAAGTTTTCCCTCTTGGTAAACCCGTGTCTTCCCTTGACAGACCCGATCTGTCAGTCTCTTCTGGCAGTTGCTCCATCCCTACTCTAAGGTAGGACCTGCCTCAGAGACCCATTCCATATGTAGTACTGCCCCCTAGGTCAGTCCATATAAGTATCTCCACGTGTTACCGCCCTATGGATAGGATGTGGTCTCCGTAGCGATTTTTTCCTGAAGGCTAGCTTTCCCATCGTTCTACCAAGCTGAAAGAACAAATAGGGAAGATTTGAAGAAATCTTTCACTGAAGGTTGAAATCCCTTCCAATTTTTTTTTTTTTTTTGTGTGGACGAAACAGCAGTATGGCCTTCTCCAGCAGCGATGTACTCACCTTTGGTCCCCTTCGATATCAAGGTCGGTGAATTTGCGCTGGGTGCTTTGGGAAGGTTACGACCTTGGCATAGCTTTGCCTTGACACACCACAGCTTGTCAACACTGCAGCACCACAGGGTTGTGACGGTGTTCAGGTTGTGGCGTTTTCCATAGACCCCTAATGTCGTCACGACATAACTCGTAGTGACCGACAGATAGGGAACGTCTCGGTTACGTATGTAACCCTCATTCCCTGATGCAGGGAACGGAGACGTTATGTCCCCATGCCACAACCTTGAACCATTCACTGATGCTGGTACATGTTCTCGGCTCCTCAGCGTAAAACCTGAATGCACGCTGTTGCCTTATACACATGTGGTCAGAATTGTTGGTACCCTTCATAAATATGAACAAAGAAGGCTATGAAAATAAATCTGCATTGTTAATCCTTTTGATCTTTACTTTTAAAAATTCACAAAAATCTAACCTTTCATTGGAGAGTAAGAATTTAAAATGGGGGGAAATATCATTATGAAATAAATGTTTTTCTCTAATACACATACGGTTGGATGATCCACACATAGCCCATTATAAGATTTCTAACAGAGTCAGTCACTTTTTTATTTTTTATCTGTTGGTATTTGTTGGTGGGGGTCGTCATGTCTACCACAACACTTATGTTTTTTTTTTCCTTCTTTTTATTCGAAACATTCCCAAACGCATTAACTGAATTATCAGCCATGGCTGGATAATTTCATGTTCATAATCACCTTGGTTTGCTCAAAATTGTGAATATGAATGGGAATATATTTCAGATATATTTTACTCATAAGAATTTCTAGGGGTACCAGTAATTGTGTCCAACGTGTATTTGAGGAAAAACAATTAAACCCATTTTTAATTATGATATTTCCCCCAAAATTGTGAATATGAATGGGAATATATTTCAGATATATTTTACTCATAAGAATTTCTAGGGGTACCAGTAATTGTGTCCAACGTGTATTTGAGGAAAAACAAACAAACATTTATTTCATAATGATATTTCCCCCCATTTTAAATTCTCATTCTCCAATGAAAGGTTAGATTTTTGTGATTTTTAAAAATAAAAGATCAAAAGGATTAACAATGCAGATTTATATTCACAGCCTTCTTTGATCATATTTACCAAGGGTACCAACAATTCTGACCATGTGTGTATACCCGTATGCATGGGGAGTGGCTCAGTATGCAAAATCCACTAGCCAATTTTCATTGGCGTTTTCTCTTAAACTCAGAGATGATTGGGCTCCCAAGTTAGATCCCTAATGTCGTCATGATATAACGTCTCCGTTCCCTCCATCAGGGAATGAGGGTTATGTACGTAACCGAGATATTTTGCCTATACAAGCCTTTTCATGTTTATTTATTTTTTGAATAACTCTATCTCTTGAATAACTGACATCCTCTACAAAGGACATAGAATAAAATATGAATAAAATATATTTTTTCATATTTTTTTTATTTTATAATGAATATACATTTTACTGGTTAATCCAAGCTCTTATATTTATATTTTAATTCCTAATTTAATTCCTTATTTAGTAAATGACAAATGACTGGAAGAGTCATGGAAATCCATTGGTTAAAAAGTGTGGAAACCATCTAGAACATTCAGCTCCTAAAATGCATGTAGATTATGGCAAAAGTGGAAAAAAACAAAAATTAAAGTATCAAAAAGTTATAGAAGTTTAAATTTATTGTAAAGAAAATACACCGTACTAATTTTATTATATTTTGTATATAATAAATATTTTACATAACAGGTTTTACTCTAAAATTGCTATAAAATTTAAGCCTTCTGTCTAAATAAGTTATGTTCCAAATTTGAAGTTGATGACTCAGACCTTTCCAATGATATGTTTTTTGTCAAGATTATAAAAAGTTTTGATTCTAAAATTCATTTTGTAATATGACACTTGACACTGCCCACTAAGGGGGAGGAGACCGCCAAAAGATTTTAAAGTACCATTTCCATGGTAACGCAATGTCTGATTTCGAAATTTTGCCTGTCACTTTGTTTAATAAATTAAATAATTTATTAGTATTTAGTACCCCAACATTTATATTAGTTGTGGGCCATTACCAATAATCAGCAGACACCAATGGGTTAGTTAATGAGTAATATGATTGAACAGTACTATGCAACATGGGTTTGGTCTGAAACCTGACACGGGCACTTTTAGTCATGAAATGACTGCAGTCATGAGATGGGCTACCAGGAAACCATATTCACTTATTCAGAAAGCTCACTCTCTGCCCTGATGTGGAAATTACATTGACACGTGTCAATCCCTGCTGATCTGGCATTGTCAGCTGAGCAGCCCAGTGTCCCTCAACTCATACAGCTACTGTGTGTCCTTGCTGCCTCCTCCCTGGCCATTTCCTGCTTTAGTCCGCACATCTGTTTCTGTCGTTATGAGATCTGTGTTCAGATGAGTAGAATGATAATCTGGGGGGAAAAAACTCTAATTTGATACGATTCCTCATTTCCTACAGTTGATTTTCTTGTTTTTTTTTGTTTGTTTTTTCAGAGAAGATACATTTATGTTATCAGACAGTCTGGCTTTATTTGAATCCTAGGTATTCTTTGAAACTGCGCGCATGTGGCTTTGCAGCAAAAAGCTATAAAAAGCATGATTATGCACTACATTTTCACTGCCTGTATTATGCCCTCAGAGCACACAACAATCATGCACTGAATCATGTAAACACACAACAGGGACATGTTGAGCGAATGAACAGCAGTCTCATATTTTGGTCTCTGTCTGTGTCTATGGCCTTTTTTCAGGCATGTGATCAGTTAAGGACAAAAGAAGAAGAAAAACCTGTTTGTTCCTCCATTCAGTATTTCAATATGACTGTACAATAATAATGATGATGATGCTAATAATAATAATTATTATTATTATCATTATTGTTCAAAATATTTTATTGTATTGTTTTTTAATTACTAAAATTAACAAATCAATAAAGAAAGGCATTAAAACAATGTATTTTACTATTGTACTGTAAAATAAAAAGGTTTTATTAAAATAAATATTCAAAATAATATTTTATTGTATTTTTACATTCAATTATTAAAATTAAACATTCAATAAAAATGTATATTACTATTGCAGTAATTAATTTTACTATTGTGCAGTAAAATCTAAAAAGACTATTTAATAATAATAATAATAATATTTTATTGTATAGTTTTTTTTAATTATTACAATTATTCATTGAAGAAATATTGCAATAATTTTTTTAAATATTCTACTGTAAAATTAAAAGACAATTTTATATATATATATAATAAAATAATATATAATAATACTTATTAATACTAATATTTATGGCTGCATTAATTTCTTTGTTTTAAACGTTAAACTATATCTTTTTATTTAATTTAAACCAATAAATACTTGTATTAAACTAAACATTTATTTTGACGGAAAAATGCTGGGAGACCTTAAAGCTTCTCTTTCGTTGCCAACACATTATATGTCTCTCATTACAAATTTCAGAAGACTACTTGCATGGTTTTACACAATTCACATTGATTATACTTCAGGTTGGAAAATACTGAAATCTTTATAAATACCGAAAAATGGCATTCCTGCTTTCTCTGTCTCATTCTTAGGGACTCAAAGCCAACTTAACGTAGAGCGTTCGAAGAGCCGGATGGGGACATTTGTGGAGACAGCAGCTCCTACAGCAGCCGAGGGCTCACAGGATGATGGGTGAGACATGTGTTTACAGTCTAATTATATTACAAAGCAACGCTGATGTTTAACAGCAGCACAAGAGCTTGAAAAAGCAAAATGTTAAGGAACGAATTCATCTATACAGCTTTTGACCTGCGTAAATCATTTTGTTATTCACATATTCATAACTTTACATTAACAGTGAGGTATACCAGACACAACTTAAACTCAAACACATACGCGCATACATACTCCCCTCATTACATTTGCGACACAATGAATTCCCTCTCTCAATATGGCAGTCTCTCTAGGGCCCAAGAGTAATTAGATTCTTCTAGCAGGCAGTGGTGCCAAACAGCCCACGTCTTTGTGGCTCACTAGAGGAACGGAGTGATTGGGATTTCCACTTGCTTTGATAGAGGCTTTTTGCTCCCCTATTGGGCTCGCATTACATTCTATGTCAGGAGCCAATCACTTCCAGGACATTATTTTGATTGACCCTCTCTGTGATATTTTACGCTCATATAAGAACCACTACAGTACAGTACAGAGTAGCGAGATTGGTCCATTTTCTGCCATCTTTCAACTGCATGATTTGGTCTCAGACCAGGGATCGCCAATAAGGACTGCCTGATAGCCCGGGACCTGTGTGAAAGACGCTCGAGACAGATGACGAATTTGTCACTGGCCGGATCAGGCCGGTCGCCGTGATTTTGCCAAGTAAGACATGATCCTGGATCAACATTACTGTCCAAAAATACAGACTTAACTCAATCCCTACCCCTAAACCTAAACTTACCCATAATTTATTCCTAAAATCAGAGCGAAATGATAGCTGATTAACAAGGGTGTAGAAGCACCTAATCCTGATTGTAAGCCTAAAACTGACATTTCCTGAAAAGTTATCTCTCAATTCTGATTGGTTGATTGGAATGATGTTCCAGGATCAACAAGGATGTTGTACTTGGTGAAAGCACGCTCACCCGATCGGGCCACTGCTGTGTTGTCACAAACGTTTATCATCTGCACATGTTTTAACGGCTTGCTAATTTTAAAATTCAAGCGATTTTAAAGAATTCAAGCAAGATGCAAGACAACTCTATTCAGTACTCTCTCTGTGTGTGCGCTGTGCACACAGAACACAGCGCGCACACGGAGATGCCCGTCTCTGACAACGCGTGAATCACAAATTCTGTTTATTTCCCCACATTCTTGCACTTGAACAGACAAATACATACCAAAGTATGTCAAAATACCCATTGTGGCGAGTAACTTTGTAGCTTTAGCAATGACTAATTTATATTTAAAGGGGTCATATGATGTTGCTAAAAAGAACATTATTTTGTGTATTTGGTGTAATGAAATGTGTTTATGCGGTTTAAGGTTCAAAACCGCGTTGCATCGCGCCGCGTAAACATAAAACCATGTCTGCATCAGATGCACCGGTCGACCGGCCATTTTTTTGTTTTATTTCAACCAATCTCTGTTCCGGGCTTGCACACAGACTGCATGCAGTCATTTTCCAAAATGCCATTTGTGTGGAAATATTACGTCTATAAACGGCCATTAACAGAGGCTAGAGATGCTGAAAACGGACGTAAAGAGGAGAAAGTACTGTAGCAGGCAGAGCAAGTTTACTGTTCACGATGCACAAAATATTGGAAGAAAATCCTAAATATTAAATTGGGGGTTTATATGAATGTATCTCTGAAGGGAGCTGACTGTCTTCAGAAAAGTTTACATGGCGTTTTCTTTTCATCTTGCCTCTGTATAATGAATTTATAGTGTTAATAAGCACAGCTATATATTCAGTTGTGCTATTGCTTGTAATTTGTTAACTGTTAATTTGTTGACTGTTAACTTGTCTTTAATAATTTTTGAACTTTATATTTATTAGGCTAGGTCTTTGCTGTGGTATCGAAATTGGAATCAATCAAGAATTGTAAAATTGAATTGGTATCTAAAATTTTGGTGTCATATAGGCTTATTTATTAAACTAAAAGATGACATGGATGATAACAATGATAACAGCAATTATTTTATTTTTTAGTGCCAGGGTCAGTGAAAATATTGACAGGGAAAGTAAAAATTTGAACCACTGGCCTGATCGGGCCAGTAGAAAAAAATCCTTAGAGTTTAATGTGCATCTTACAATCTGGGTATAGATTTGAGTCTATACCCAGTCTTTTCTGATCAAATACGGCTCTTTTAAAAAAATGGAAACAGAAAGGTGTCGACCATTCCCCATTATGAGCTTATTAGTCTCCAACCAACAAAGAAGTTGCGTGGATGAGGTTGTCATGGTGACTTACACCACTGCCTTCACTCATAATGTCATTTATGTTGCACGAGGACCCGACTTGGCGCTGCCTATTCAACTTAGAGAAATAAGCATACATGCTTATGCTGTGTTAACACATATATTCACACATTATGAGTGTCTTTTTTTCTTCTAGCCCTTCTGCAGATGTTCCAGATATCTTGGGAAGGCGAAAGTTTAAGTCACCACCTTCTGATCAAGACCCTTTATAACGGCGGGATCCAACAGAGTCTTATTAAAGAGCAAACAGTATTCATTTCACAATAAGCAAGGCTGATCTCTGCTTATCCTATCCGATTTCACTCGGTCAGACAAGTTGTCTGCACTAATACTAAAATAATGTTTGATGAAAACAAAGAGCAAGCTGAACATCACACTGAACGACAATGAAGTCAAGAACAGCCATGTGCTTAAAAGGAATGTTCACCCAAGAAATGAAAATTGTGTCATCATGTGCTCACTCTCATGTCATTCCAAACCTGTATGCCTTTCTTTCTTCTGTGGAAAATAAAAGAAGATAATGGAAAGAATGTTTGAGCTGTTTCTGTCCAAACCATGAAAGTCAATGAATTCCAAAACAATACTGGACGTTATTTTTCAAAAATGTTATTTTCAGAATCATAATCTACTATCATTTGCCCTCATGTCGCTCCTGAATTTCTTTCTTCTGTGGAACACAAATAATCTGAAGAAAGTTGGAAATCAAACAAGACTGGAGCCTATTGACTTATGACTAGTGTTTTTTTTCTGGGATGCCACTGGGCTCCTTAAAGAACTTTTCAGTGAAGCCTTTTTTTGTGAGAGTGAAGAACATTTTAAGGTAACACTTTACTTGAAGCTTTTATGTATAATGCATCATAATAATGGATTATAAAGGTATTCATAATGTACTGTATGTTGTAATGCATTATATATTTTCATAAATAATTGTAACCCCAGGTAAAATGCATTATGATGTTTGGAGATTCCTTGTTAATCTCCAATTCTGAAATTGGTCGTTTGTCATGTGTTTTAATACATTACATTTTCTCAAGGTGTAACAATGAGTATGTAAGTATTATAATGTATTATAACTTGTTCATACAATGCATTATAAGGTGCATTCCAATGCATAATTAATGCATTAAAATATTTTATAATGAATGATATATATAAAGGCTTCAAGTAAATTTATAAGTATACATTTTGTTGACAATAAAGACACTTTTTGTGAACTGGAAAGGTTCCATAAATGTTAAAGGTTCTTCATAGAAACATACATTGCAATAAAGACCCTTTATTTTTAAGATTGTATTGTATGGAAAAAGAACACTGAGTATGAGTATTTCTCAAAAATATTTCTCAAAATATCTCCTTTTGTGTTCTACAGAGGAAAGACTATATCATACAGGTTTGGAGCAACATGACAGAATTTAAATTTTTGGATGAACTATTGCTTTAAGGTTTTTCACACCATGTGCTCATGATGGTTTGCATTTGTGGTTATCTGTTAGTTTTGAATTGATTTCTGAATTCATGATAGCACACTTTTTTTTTATTCGCGAAATTTTTTTTAAGCATTTGCTCATCTGCCATATGTCTCTAAAATGTTTCCTGTCACATGTTAAGTAGAAAACTTTAGAAACTTTAGACATTTAGAAAACTTTAGTCTTAGTCTATAATATGTTAATCATTTAGAATGCATGTAAAACTTAAGATTCATTTAGCAGATGCTTTTATAAAATGTAGTTGTAACTGTTGAAACTGTAATTATTACATCTTAGTCTTATTTCCAACAGTTTTGTTGTCATGTCATTACACATAAATAAACACTTGTTTTCCTGATTACCCTGTTCTCTGACATGCTCAGTATAGCTTTTCCGTAGCCCTTTTGCAGCATTAGTAATGACTCAGATGCTCACGTACTGTATGAACATGTAACGTGCACAGCACAGAATCATTGTACATCCCACGCAGACCATCATTGACACACTAAGGCTGGATATGCAGTATCTGTCCTTGCATGGCGACAACGAAGAGAGACACTGCCTGCTGTTGCCAAGAGCTCTGACGTACACTAATGACTGAATTATACACCATTGTACTGGGTGTCTCGCACAACAACACTATCTATACATAGATGCATCATTAGCGGCTGATTCTATAGGCAGCTAAGTCATCCGCCAGGTAACGCATCCGCCATATTGGAAAAAAGCTGGTCCGTGAACACTCAAGAGCAAGTTGACTGCATTTGCATCCATAGTTATTCCTATGTCTGAATATCTATATCCGCAACAGACGTCAGCAGATAATTTTGCTAAAAATACAAGCTGAAAGTGACTACCTCAAAAAGTTACCATAGTTTAAAAACCCGTCATATTGAATTATTACATCTAAAATCACAAACCAAACACATTCTCTCCCGTAAAAGTTTATCCTATTTCTCATCTCAGAAAAGTCATTGATGTTTACTGTGAGTGACGACTTGCTGCCTGTTCCAAGATGGCGGAAGAGTTGACATTTCTGGAGTAGTCAAATGTGGCATACCCCAGATAGCAAATTTGGGACGGATCTGGCTGAGTTTCAGCTGTCAGTTTGGCCCACATACAACATGGAATTACGGCCCAAGGTTGGTCCAAATGCTGTTAGCCGAAAGTCACCCAGACCAATGCTGGAATCAGACCAAAACACACCCACAACTTCGCAGTATCCCCAGAAATCATCCATATCTGGCCCACAACAGTGCCGGAATCCCCAGATGTCAAAAAGATGAGAGAAACCAAATTAAACTGTTGCAAACAATAAAGCAATAATGCAATTTAAAAGATGGAAATGTGTTGTGGATACGTGTGGAAATACAGAAACCAACAAACAAAAGACAAATGAAATACAACTTATATTTATGGATGCGCAAAAAAGGTACAAATTTAAGTTGCAAAAAAAAAAAAAAACCAACAACAATGCAAAAGATTCACTTTCTTAACAATAACTTAAAACGTTATCGCCACCCTCACAGTCACAAGCTAGATTAATCCACAGTTTAATAACTTTCGACCTCCAGCTCAGTTGTGTGTGCACATACAGGATTTCTTCTTACAGCATCTAGGAGCATTTAAATACAGAGATAAAAAAATACATTTAAGACACCACCAGTCTAAGAACTATGACTTTCAACATTCATTCATGACATGTGGGGAAAAAAGTCATGAAAAAAAAAAATCCACTTACCAGTCACAATGTTTTTAAGCTCCAAACTTCGGAAAGGTGTTTTCCCATTTACACCTCTCCAGTTCACCACTTTGGCCAAGTCATTTCTGACTGCCTGCCTCATAGTTCGCCAGACCATGTCCTTCACATCCACTCCACCCAGCAATCCAAGTTCAAGTGCATGAAATATTTTTAAAGCATGCTGGATCGAAGATCACTTTCCAGGGAAGTTAATGACCTTAAATCTTCAATTGGAAACCGTTTTGGACTTAAACGGTTAGCCTCTGTGATCTCATGAACATTGCTTGCTTCGAGATCTTGCGCCATCCTTATAATGTTCCTCTGCTGCTCCATAAGAATCTCTTGTTTAGTTATTATGTCATGGAGAAGTGCTAAAACATTAAACACAGGAATTACAAGGTTTACCACACCACCCGTACTATGAAATGAGCATTACACTAACAGTGAATATATGATAGAAAACAACAAGAAATATAACATCTTATGAATACATATACATATGTATATACTGTTTGTTTCTTAAATAAAACAGTGGTAACATATTACAAGTGACCACTAATCAACTAAATAAAATAACAAACAAATATATTTTGACAGAAATGATGGTTATTATAGTACATTTTTGTAAGGGGAGATTCTAGAGACATATGTTTAAATGTTCCTTTGCAAACATTTAAATATAATAATTACAGCATATTTACAGTATAATAATTTACAGTACTGTATAACAATTTACACAGTTGATAGTAAAATAATTTCTGGCAAAATACAATAGTTAGGCCTAATACATTTATTATTACTATTGTAAAATAATAATAAATGCACATCTCCTTCAAACACTGTAAAAAAAAAAAATTAAAAAAAATAAATAAATAAATAAAATACAAAATAAATCAGATGATTTTTTTTTACATTTTCTTTTAAATTTAGATTTTTTTTTTTACGTTTGTAAAATGTTTACATGTTTGGTAACTAATGGTATAACAATTTTATTGCAGTACTTATAATTATGGTATTTTGTCAGTGATATTTGTAATGTGCGGGTTTTTTGGTGTGGTAGTTTGGCCTGCTATCGTAAAGAGATGTTGAGCACTGGGAGCTGTGGACATAGCTGATGATGAGAGAAAGGGTCCCTCCTCCCTACACACTCAATGAACACATGCACACATGCCCACCCGCTCATTCACACCACCACTGATCTACATACGGGCTTCTGTGCAACCTGTTACTGCCAACACGAAAGCAAAATAGTATAACACTTAATGCTTAGTATCATTTGGTTTTGTAAAAGAAAAATAGTCGTTAAATGAGAGAACTACTGTCACTCAGAATCTGAGAGTCGAACCCATTAACGCGTGGAGCGCGACGGACGTGTATTGAGTGTCAGCAGTAGCCTATTGATCTTTATATGAGTCGGGCAGCGGTGACAGCCGAACCCGCGTCAAAGACATCATATGTTTTTTAGGACGGCGTTTTCGACTTAAAGGAAACGACAGATTTCGCTCGTACCCGGAGACCTCCTTCATCTAGCCTGTGTAATCATTTCTCTGGACTTTGACTAAGCGGTAAGACCTTTTCTTGTTCATGAGGAGACGCTGATAATATTTCTAAACCACTGCATGTGTTTATATAGCTCAGCACCATATTGTTTTTTAAACGGTCGTCTTTAACCACATTTAAGCGTCTCATGGGCTATCACATCCGGTGGGGGTGAAACCAGCATTGATGCTCATTGCTCCTGTTAGTACCCACGGATTTGTACCGATTCATTTTACACAGCTGATATCACAATATGATTTAAACGGTTATTGTGTGAAATTACTAGCTTTCTAAGTTTGCTTCAGAAAGTAGGCTAAAATGTGACCTTGGTGTTGTGAAGTATAAGAGCAAATGGTGACTATGTGAAAACATCCTTTTTTTTGAGTGTCATGACTGATGAGTAATGAGCTATTCAATGTCATTTTTTTAATGGTACAACTATGTACTAATACCTTCCATACTATGTACTGGTGTAAATGCTACAGTAAAACCTGTTAATTGACTGTTACCTGACAGTTACCCGACTAAGTTATTTTGTTACAAGACACTGTAACAAATTTTAAAATAAATTATGGGAAAATAAATTACTTTATAATTTATCATAGAATATACTGTATATACATTACAGTTGGTGTAAAAAAAAAAAAAAAAAAGTTATATTGTGAAATATTTTTAAAATAACTGTTTTCTATTTGAATATATTTTAAAATGTAATTTCTTCCCATTATGGCAAAGCTGAATTTACAGCAGCCATTGCTGATTTATATTGTTAGGATTTTTTGATGAAAAGAAAGTTCAAAATAATAGCATTTATTTGTCAGTATCTATCTATCTGTCTGTCTATAATGGTTTTTATACTGTACAATCTGAATATTCTGTCGCCCTACACCAACCCTCC